ATCTTTAAAAAAAAAAAAAAAAAAAGTACAGACGAGAATCTTATTTTGTCAAACAGGCTGGTGTCCAACTCCTCACCTCAAATGATCCTCCTGTCAGCCTCCCAAAGTGTTGGGATTATAGATATGATCCACCACACCTGGCCTAGCCTGGAAACATTTGCACCTGATCTAGGAGGTTGTGTTAAGTGTCTTTAAAGTTCTTTTTTTTTTTTTTTTTTTTTTCCGAGAAGGAGTTTTGCTCCTTACCCAGGCTGGAGTGCAATGGCGTGATCTCAACTCACTGCAACCTCTGTCTCCTGGGTTCAGGCAATTCTCCTGCCTCAGCCTCCCGATTAGCTGGGATTACAGGCATGCGCCACCGTGCCCAACTACTTTTTTGTATTTTTAGTAGAGACAGGGTTTCACCATATTGACCAGGATGGTCTCGATCTCTTGACCTTGTGATCCACCCACCTCAGCCTCCCAAAGTGCTGGGATTACAGGTGTGAGCCACCATGCCTGGCCCTGAAGTTCTTTTACATTCTGAGCCGGGTGCCATCGCTCATGCCAGTAATCCCAGCACTTTAGGAAGCCGAGGGAGGCAGAACACCCAAGGTCAAGAGTTTGAGACCAGCCTAGCCAATATGATAAAACCCTTGTCTACTAAAAACACAAAAATTAGCCAGGCGTGGTGGTGTGTGTTTGTAATCCCAGCTACTCAGGAGGCTGAGGCAGGAGAATCACTTGAACCCAGGAGGCAGAGGTTGCAGTGAGTCTAGATCTCTCTCCACTGCACTCCAGCCTGGGCAACAAGAGCAAAACTCCATCTCAAAAAATATATATATATCTTTTACGTTCTGCCTTTATTGGTCCATTCTATAGAAATAAAAACTGGATATTACAGGGATGGTCTAGACAAGAAACTGGAATAACTGGACCCTCTCTCCAAGAGTAGGCTTTGTGCCTGTAACCAAAAGATTGCAAAGTGAGACAGGGTGAGGTGGCTCACACCTATTATTCCAGCACATTTGGAGGCTGAGGAGGGTGAATCACTTGAGTCCAGTAATTCAAAACCAGCCTGGGCAACATGGTAAAACCTCATCTCTATAAAATATACCAAAAAAAAAAAAAATGTACTTGTAGTCCCATCTAGGAAGGAGGCTGAGATGGGAGGATTATTCCAGCCCAGGAGATTGAGGATGCATTCGCCCAAAACTGCACCACTGCACTTCATACACTCCAGCCTGAGTGACAGAGTGAGACTCTATGTCAAAAAAAAAAAAAAAAAAAGATTCCTAAGTGAATAAATATACTGTTGTTTAAATTTAAAGTGTTTATACATATATTTTATTATTTTCCTCATTAACACACTTCTTCAATAACTAAACATCTACTGTTCCCTAGCATATAAAATAAATATATACAGCTTCTAAAAACATGGTGCAAGACCAGGCACGTTGGCTCACACCTGTCATTCCAACACTTTGGGAGGCCATGGTGGCAGGATTACATGAACCCAAGAATTTTTTTTTTTTTTTTTTTTTTGAGACGGAGTTTTGCTCTTGTTACCCAGGCTGGAGTGCAATGGCACGATCTCGGCTCACTGCAACCTCCGCCTCCTGGGTTCAAGCAATTCTCCTGCCTCAGCCTCCTGAGTAGCTGGGACTACAGGCACGCGCCACCATGCCCAGCTAATTTTTTGTATTTTTAGTAGAGACGGGGTTTCACCACGTTGACCAGGATGGTCTCGATCTCTCGACCTCGTGATCCACCCGCCTCGGCCTCCCAAAGTGCTGGGATTACAGGCTTGAGCCACCGCGCCCGGCGAACCCAAGAATTTGAGACCAGTCTAGGCAACATAGGGAGACCCTGTCTCTACAAAGCAATTTTAAGAAAATTAGCTGATCATGGCAGCATGCACCTGTGGTCCCAGCTAATTGGGAGGCTGAAGTGGGAGAATCATTTGAACCCAGGAACTTGAGGCTGAAGTGAGCGATGAGGCTGGGCACAGTGGCTCACAGCTATAATCCCAGCACTCTGGGAGGCCAAGGCGGGCAAATCACCTAAGGTCAGGAGTTCAAGACCAGCCTCGCTAACATGGTGAAACCAAGTCTCTACTAAAAACACAAAAATTAGCTGGGCGTAATGGTGGGTGCCTGTAATCCAGCTACTCCAGAGGCTGAGGCAGAAGAATGGCTTGAACCTGGGAGACAGAAGTTGCCATGAGCCTAGATTGTGCTCAGTGCCCTGCATCATGAGCAACAGAGCAAGACTCCATCTCAAATGTACCCCAGAACTTAAAGTATAATAATAAAATAAATAAAATTAAAATCGAAGATAAAAATTTAAAAAGATGAACAAAAAAATAAAGCACAGTAGAAAAAAGTGACTGATATGCTAAAATACTGATAATACAATTAACTGAAAAGGCAGGTTAGAACAAAATTTGCAATACATTCACATCTTAGTAAAGTATGCCTTTGTTTTATATGACTAAATAGAAATCCAAGAGGAGTCCACTACAAAATCCTAACAATTCCTCCCAGACATGAACTAACAGATAATTTTATTTCCTTCCTTCTGCTTTCTTTGGATTTTCCAAATCTAAAACTAAGATTACTTTTATTTCTTCCTTTAAAAAAAAAAAAAAAAAAAAAAACAGTCTCACTCACTCTCACCCAGGCTGGAGTGGAGTGGTGAGATCTCAGCTCACTGCAATCACTTCCTCCCAGGCTCAAGTGATTCTCCTGCGTCAACCTTCCAAGTACCTGGAATTACAGGCATGCGCCACTACCTATGGCTAATTTCTATAACTTTAGTAGAGATGAAGTTTCACCATGTTGACCAGGCTGGTCTTGAACTTCTGGCTGAAGTAATTTGCCAGCCTCAGCTCCCCAAAGTGCTAGGATTACAGGTGTGAGCCCCTGCATCTGGCCTAAGATTATTTTTATAATCAGAAGCAATATTACTTAAGTTTTTGTTAGTCTTTTCAACTTTTCATGTGGAAATGCTACTAAATTGATAATCAAAAACATGATTGTGACAGAAAAGGCCTTTGGTGCTACATGAGCACTTGGAGGTTACTCAGTGAGACAGAAACTCAGTTTCTGTGGAGAATGGACTGCAGTGACACAGAATAAACCTGGGAATGACTGAATTTCTTCTGCAGGAAAAACCACAGGGGATTGCACAGCACGCCTGTCACCTGAGGGTGGGGTGACACCAGGAGGCACCCCAGGGAGGAGGGGGCAGGGTAGAGCTGGGGGAAAGATCTGGAAAGTCAGAGCCCGGGTTGATTCTGTTCAGATTTCTGACGTTTTTCTGCTCATCCTTTATCAGAGCTGCTCGCACTGTCTCCTTTTCTCAGACCCTAGGGCTTAAGTGATAAGTTGTTATTGAACCAGAGACTGGGGTGCACAGGACAAGCACCTGTGTTGAAAGGTGCTGTATCCTAGAACCACGGGGGATTCACAGTGGTTTCATTATATCACATAAATTCTTTTTGGATGGTGTAAATACAGGATTTGATGGAAAGAGTCCTAAGTTTAAATTTTGATAGGAAGACAGAGCTACAACAGTTTATTTACTTTTTTGCCATAGGGTGTCCCTCTATTGCCCAGACTGGAGTGCAGTGGCATAATCAGGACTCACTGCAATGTTGACCTCCCAGGTTGAAATGATCCTCCCACCTTAGCTTCCTGAGTATCTGGGACTATAAGTGCTGTCACACCTGGCTAATTGTGTGTGTGTGTGTGTGTGTGTGTGTGTGTGTGTGTAGATGAAGTCTCCCTATGTTGCCCAGGCTGGTCTGGAGCTCCAGGACTCAAATGATATTCCTGCTTGGGTCTCCCAAAATGCTGGAATTGCAGGTGTGAGCCACCAAGCCTAGCCTTGAATTCTTAAAATTATCTGTAGCACATGTGAATAGAGTTTGTGAACTGTACACGAACTATAAAGTCATAATTGGCATGCACCTGAGAACATTGTAACAGAGTTAGGCTTTTGTAAGAATCTCAGCCAGACAGTGAATATTCACTAAACAATGACTCTTTTCAGGGCCCCCATGCTGTATACAAAGATATAGATTCCTTAGTAGTTGTCAATATCCTATTAGCTATCATCATTTGAAAAGAAGGTGTCTGGGGATGAGGGGTCATCAATTCCAGTATCCGATTCAGACAATATCCACCCCCAGGCCATCTGGCACCAACCCCATTTGAACTGTAAGCTATTGTTGCCAATTATCTCTGAGAAAAACTTTAGAAAAATAATCCCTGGTAGGCTGAGCGTGATGGCTCACGCCTGTAATCCTGTATAATCCTAGCACTTTGGGAGGCCAAGGTGGGTGGATCACCTGAGGTCAGGAGTTCAAGACGAGCCTGGCCATCACGGTGAAAACCCATCTTTAAAAAAAATAATAAAAAAGAAAGAAAGAAAAATAATTCCTGGTAAAAACAGCAGAAAGCTACACTACAAGTAAAGCTAAATATCAATTCCAAATGTCAATTGTTTGACAACAAAAAAATACAATTTAAATAACAGCAAGAAGGGGCTGGGCAGGGTGGCTCATGCCTGTAGCCCCCGGACTTTGGGATGCCGAGATGGGCAGATCACTTGAGATCAGGAGGTTGAGGCCAGCCTGGCTAACATGGTGAAACCTGGTCTCTACTAAAAAATCTACAAAAATTAGCCAAGTGCACCTGTAATCCCAGTTACTCAGGAGGCTGAGGCCCTAGAGTCACTTGAACCCAGAAAGTGGAGTTCGCAGTAAGCTGTGATTGTGCCACTCCGTTCCAGCCTGGGCCACAGAGTGACACACTATCTCCAATAAATAAATAAATAAATAAATAAATAATACCAAGAGCAAAGAGCTTTGAAAAACAGATATATGTGAGGGTGGGCCAGGTGGCTTGTGCCTGTAATCCCAGCACTTTGGGAGACCCAGGTGGGTGGTTAAGCTGATGTCAGGAATTTGAGACCAGCCTAGCCAACTTGGTGAAACTCCATCTACTAAAAACACAAAAATTACCTGGCACGGGAGATACTATGATCATGAAGGTGGTTTTTCCAGGGTGAGAGTCATCCATTGCACTCTGGATGTGCTGGCCCCTGTGATTTCTCCAAATGTGGGAAACTGGACTGCAAAATTTGTGGTAGAGGGGGACTGTGTTTGTGCTTTCCCCTGATGAAAATTAAAAATAAATAAATAAATAAATCGGCCAGGTGTGGTGGTACATGCCTGTAATTCCAACTACTTGGGAGGCTGAGTGAGGAGACTTGCTTGAACCCAGAGGCAGAAGTTGCAGTGAGCTGAGATCACGTCGCTGCACTCCAGCCTGGGAGACAGAGCAAGACTCCATATCAAAAAAAAAAAAAAAAAAAAAAAAGCCTGGAAATTATTCTTTCTTTAAAAATAAAGATGGTGATCTTGCTTTGTTGATCAGGCTGGCGTCCAACTTCTCACCTCAAGAGATCCTCCTGTCAGCCTCTCAAAGTGTTGGGATTACAGGTATGAGCCCACCACACCTGGCCTAGCCTTGAAACATTTGCACCTGATCTAGGAGGTTGTGTTAGGTGTCTTTAAAGTTCTTTTACATTCCGAGCCAGGTGCTGTGGCTCACACCAGTAATCCCAGTACCTTGGAAAGCCAAGGGAGGCAGATAACCTAAGGTCAAGAGTTTGAGACCAGCCTGGCCAACATGGTGAAACTGCATTTCTACTGAAAATGCAAAAATGGGCCAGGTGCAGTGGCTCAAGCCTGTAATCCCAGCACTTTGGGAGGCCGAGGCGGGTGGATCACGAGGTCAAGAAATCAAGACCATCCTGGTCAACATGCTGAAACCCCGTCTCTACTAAAAATACAAAAAAATTAGCTGGGCATGGTGGCACGTGCCCGTAATCCCCGATACTCAGGAGGCTGAGGCAGGAGAATTGCCTGAACCCAGGAGGCGGAGGTTGCAGTGAGCCGAGATCACGCCATTGCACTCCAGCCTGGGTAACAAGAGTGAAACTCTGTCTCAAAAAAAAAAAAAATGCAAAAATTAGCCAGGCATGGTGGTGTGCATCTGTAATCCCAGCTAATCAGGAGGCTGAGGCAGGAAATTTCTTGAACCCAGGAGGCAGAGTTTGTGCAGTGAGTGGAGATCTCTCACCATTGCACTCCAGCCTGGGCAACAAGAGCAAAATTTCCTATCAAAAAAAAAAAAAAAGGTTTTTAAGTTCTATCTTCCTTCATCCATTGTATAGAAATCAAAACTGGATATTACAGGGATGGTTTAGACAAAACATTGGAATAAATGGACTCTCTCTCCAAAAATGAACTTCACACCAGCAGCCAAAAGATTCCAAAGCGAGACAGGTCAATGTAGCTCACATCTGTAGTCCCATCTAGTAGGGAAGCTTAAGATAGGAGGATCATTCCAGCCCATGAGGTTGATGATGCATTCACCCAAGACTGCACCACTGCACTTCATGCACTCCAGCCTGAATGACACACTAAGGCTCTATCTCAAAAAAAAAAAAAAAAAAAAAAAGATTACAAAGTTAATATGCTGTTGTTTAGTGCCAGGCACAGTGGCTCACTCCTGTAATCCCAGCACTTTGGGAGGCTGAGGTGGGCAGATCACAAGGTCAAAAGTTTGAGACCAGCCTGACCAATATGGTGAAACCCCATCTCTACTAAAAATACAAAAATTAGCTGGGCATGGTGGCAGGCACCTGTAGTCCCAGCTACTCAGGAGGCTGAGGGAGGAGAATCACTTGAACCTGTGAGGTGAAGGTTGCAATGAGCTGAGATTGTGCCACTGCACTCCAGCCTGGGTGAGAGAGTAGAACTCCATCTCAAAAAAATAATAATTATATATACACACACACACATATACACACACACTGATGTTTAAATTTAAAATAAAGTGTTTAGAAATAAATCATATTTTGGCTGGGCACGGTGGCTCAAGCCTGTAATCCCAGCACTTTGGGAGGCCGAGGCGGGTGGATCACGAGGTCAAGAGATCGAGACCATCCTGTTCAACAAGGTGAAACCCCGTCTCTACTAAAAATACAAAAAATTAGCTGGGCATGGTGGTGCGTGCCTGTAATCCCAGCTACTCAGGAGGCTGAGGCAGGAGAATTGCCTGAACCCAGGAGGCAGAGGTTGCAGTGAGCCGAGATCGCGCCATTGCACTCCAGCCTGGGTAACAAGAGCGAAACTCCGTCTCAAAAAAAAAAAAAAAGAAAGAAATCATATTTTATTATTTTCCATGGTAACTCACTTCTTCAATAACTAAACATCTACAATTCCTTAACATATAAAATAAATATATACAGCTTCTAAAAACATGGTACAAGGCCAGACACAGTAGCTCGTATCTGTAACCCCAGCACTTTGGGAGGCCACAGTGGAAGAATTATGCGAACCCAAGAGTTTGAGATTTGCCTAGGTGACATAGGGAGCTCCTGCCTCTACAAAACAATTTTAAGTAAATTAGCTGATCATGGCATTATGTACCTGTGGTCCCATCTGCTTGGGAGGCTGAAGGGGGAGGATGATTTGAACCCAGAAGCTCGATGCTGCAGTTAGCTATTATTATGCCACTGCACTCCAGCCTGGGTGACAGAGTAAGATCCTGTCTCAAAAAATAAGAAAAAGGCCAGGCGCGGTGGCTCACGCTTGTAATCCCAGCACTTTGGGAGGCCGAGGCGGGTGGACTACGAGGTCAAGAGATTGAGACCATCCTGGTCAACATGCTGAAACCCCGTCTCTACTAAAAATACAGAAAATTAGCTGGGCATGGTGGCACGTGCCTGTAATCCCAGCTACTCAGCAGGCTGAGGCAGGAGAATTGCCTGAGCCCAGGAGGCAGAGGTTGCGGTGAGCCGAGATCGCGCCATTGCACTCCAGCCTGGGTAACAAGAGTGATACTGGGTCTCAAAAAAAAAAAATTAGAAAAAGAATAAGAATAAAATAACAAAACACGGTGGAAAAAAATGACTGATATACTAAAATACTGTTAACACATTTAGGTGAAAAGGAAGATTAGAACAAAATGTTCAGTACATTCACATCTTAGTAAAGTATGCCTTGTTACATGTGATTAAATAGAAATCCAATAGGAATCTCCTACAAAATCCCAACAATTCCTCCCAGACATGAACTAACAGATAATTTTATTTTCTTCCATCTGCTTTCCTTGGATTTTCCAAATCTTCTAAAACTAAGATTACTTTTATTTCTTCTTGTTTTTGTTTTTGTTTTTCCTGAAGGAGAGTCTCACTCACTCACCAAGGCTGGAGTGCAGTGGGGGCCATCTCAGCTCACTGCAACCTCTGCCACTCAGGTTCCTGCCTCAACCTCCCAAGGAGATGGAATTACAAATGTGTGTCACCACACCTGGCTAATTTTTGTATTTTTAGTAGAGGAGAGGTTTCACAATGTTGGCCGGACTTGTCTTGAACTCCTGGCTTCAAATGATCCACCTGCCTAGGCCTCCCAAAGTGTTGGGATTACAGGCATGAGCCACCGCATCTGGCCTAAGATATTTATTTATTTATTTATTTGTTTATTTATTTATTTATTTTTGAGACAGAGTCTTGCTCTGTCACCAGGTGACACAATCTCCGCTCACTGCAACCTCCCATGTTCAAGTGATTTCCCTGCCTTAGCCTCCTGAGTAGCTGGGACTATGGGAGAGTGCCACCACGCCCAGCTAATTTTTATTTTGTATTTTAGTTGATACTGGGTTTCACCATATTGGTGAGGATTGTCTCAATCTCCTGACCTCATGATCTGCCTGTCTCTGCCTCCCAAAGTGCTGGGATTACATGAGTGAGCCAGAGTGCCCAGTCAGATTATTTTCATAATCAGAGGAATCTTTCCAACTCTTTTTATGGGAATCCTACTAAATGCATAATAAAAAAATGATTGTGACAGAAAAGGCCATTGGTGCTGCATGAGCATCTGGAGGTCACTCAGTGAGACAAACTCAGTTTCTGTAGAAAATGGACTGCAGTGACACAGAATAAACCTGGGAATGACTGAATTTCCTCTGCACAGCACCCTTGTCACCCAGGGGTGGAGTGCAGCAGGAGACACAACAGGGAGGAAGGGAGCAGGGGAGAGCTGGGGGAAAGCTCTGGAAAGGTCAGAACCTGGATTAATCCTGTTCAGATTTCTGACTTCTTTCTGCTCATCCTCTATCAGAGCTGCTCACACTATCACACTTTACTCAGACCCTAGGGCTTAAGTGACGAGTTGTTATCGAACCAGAGACCAGGGTGCACAGGACAAACACATGTGTTAAAAAGTGCTGTATCCTAGAACCACAGGGGATTCACATTGGTTTCATTCCATCGAATAAATTCTTTTTGGATGGTGTAAATACAAGATTTGATGAAAAGAGTCCTGAGTTCAAACATTAGAATTTGGTAGCAACATATAGATACAACGGTTTATTTAGTTTTTGAAATAGGGTCTCCGTCTTTTGCCCAGACGGAGTGCAGTGGCACAATCACAGCTCACTGTAACCTCAACCTTCCAGGTTCAAGTGATCCTTGCACCTTAGCTTCCTGAGTAGCTGGGACTACAAATACTATCACACCTGGCTTATTTTTTTTGTGTGTACAGATGGTGTCTCCCTGTGTTGCCAAGGCTGGTCTCAAACTCCTGGACTCAAATGATCTTCCTGCTTGGATCTCCCCAAATGCTAGAATTGCTGGTGTGAGCCACCCTGTCCAGCTCTGAATGCTTAAAATTATCTGTAGCACATGTGAATAGAGTTTGTGAACTCTACATGAACTTTAAAGTCATCATCTGGTTTCACCTGAGAACATTGTAGCATAGTTAGCTTTTGCAGGAATCTCAACTGTACAGTAAACATTCACTAAACAATGACTCTTTCCAGGGCCCTAGGCTGTACAAAAAGATGCAGATTCTGTAGCAGTTGTACCTATCCCACTAACTAGGGCAATTTGAGTAGAAGGTGCCTGGGGATGAGGGGTCATCAGCTCCAACATCTAATTCAGACAATGCCTACCCTACTCCCAGCCCATCTGGCACCAACCCCATAGGCACTCTAATCCAGGGTTGCCAATTGTCTCTGAGCAACACTTGAGAAATCTGCTCCCTGATAAAGAACAGCATAAAGCTATACTGCAAACCAAGCTAGATATCAATTGCAAATGTAAATT